CCCTTGCTCGTGCTCTGTCTCTCTTTCTCTCTCAAAAATAAATACACATTAAAGAAATTTTTAAAAAAGAATTCCTTTTTTAAAAAATATCTATTTATTTTATTCCTTTTTTAAAATTTTATTTAAATGTTTATTTATTTTTGAGACACAGACACAGAGCATGAACAGGGGAGGGGCAGAGAAAGAGGGAGACCCAGAATCCCAAGCAGGCTCCAGGTTCCAAGCTGTCAGCACACAGCCCGACAGGGGTTTGAACCCAAAAACTGAGATCATGACCTGAGCCGAAGTTGGATGCTTCACTGACTGAGCCACCCAGGCACCCCATAAAAATATTTATTTATTTTTGAGAGAAAGAGATAGAGGAGGGGAGGGGCAGAGAGAGAGGGAGAGAGAATCCCAAGGAGGCTCCAGGCTGTCAGCACAGAACCTGATGTGGGGCTTGATCCCATGACCCTGGGATCACAACCTGAACCGAAATCACGAGTTGGACACTCAACCGACCAAGACACCCAGGTGCCCCTATTTCTACTGTTTTTAATTTCGTTCTCTATAAATGCCCTGGATGAATATGTATCTTTCTGAATGCGCTGGGTGAAGGCTTAACTCGTCAGTCCTCGGTGCGTTCCTCATTAGTAGGGCTAACAGTACTGGTCTCACTGGGTTGGGCTGAGAATGAATTGAAGTGACACCTCAGGGACGTGCCACACGGTGCTTCTCGTCCTCCCCCTGCTTGGCCTCTCCTAGGACCAGACGTGGGAGCTTCCGTTGGGCATTTTCCTTCCGCCATGCAGCAATGCGTTCACTGCTTGCAACCCCTCTGTTACACGTCTTATTGTTACCGTTTATCGTTGAGGGGAAAGTAAGAGCGGCAAACAGTTTCCCGAAGTGACGCACTGGCACAGCATTGTTACTAATTGTTAGTTACTATTATTCCTGGTGGTGGTGATGCAGGTGATACTTGAGGGGTCGTGAGGTTTGCTTCTTTTCCTCGGGGTCTTCCTGGAATCCGCAAGGGGTCATCTTACAATTCAGAGTCCCCGCGTAGGATCCAGTGAAACCTCGTGGCCCTTCACCGGGGCGGGACTTGGATTCTCTCAGCGGGATTCTGTGTCAAACTAATGAGCCACACGCAGAGAAATGATGCGTCTCTGCCCTCC